ATCGATCATACAAGCAGGGGTCGGAGCCTGGCTTAGTAAGACCGATATTACTAATGCCTTTAAATTGCTACCAATCCACCCCACACTGTGGCAACTGCATGGAATCAAGTGGGCCGGGCACTACAATTTTTTTTCTCCCGTTTAACTTTTGGGTCTAAAAGTAGCCCAGCTATTTTCGACACATTTGCCGAAGCATTGTGCTGGTTACTATTGAACATAGCCAGATGCCCTACGGTATTACATCACCTGGACGACTTCTTACTGGTCGAGGAAAATACTTCCCCTCCTAGTAGTCTTAAAGCTAACACCAAGCCATTCGAGCAACTAGGTGTACCAATCTCCCCTAAGAAAATGGAGGGGCCAAACACGATTATCACTTTCCTGGGAATTCAAGACAAGATAGAGAACATTCTTACCTACATCAACCGCTACCTTCAGCTCAGTACTTGCAACCGCAAAGAGCTACAGTCCCTGCTGGGGTCACTAAATTTTGCCATGTGTATGATACCTCAAGGCCGCTCCTTCATATCACGACTCTTGTATCTTTTTCCACACTTCCTACACAACACACACAGGTTGTCCTTAGATAACCAAGCTACGGCAGACCTACGCATGTGGAAGGAATTTTTAACCACTTGGAATGGTAAAAGTATGTTCCTCCCTCAATTGACTGACTCATCACCTACTATTTGGTCAGATGCAGCATCTACCACAGGTTTTGCAGCAATTTTGGGGAACGAATGGCTTTGGGGCAGCTGGCCTATATCAGTTCAGGATTTAGAAGGTTTTTCCACTACCTCAGCTCTCTTTGAGATCTATCCCATTGTGGTGGCTGCTGTAGAATGGGGTCATTTATGGGCAAATATGCCAGTTCGTTGTTACTCAGACAACCAGGCAACCTGTCACATCATCAACAAAGGTCGCTCCAAATCCCTTACGATCATGAGATTTCTGAGGAAACTCATGTGGTTGGCAGCTTGTCATAATTTCTTTCTATATTGTTTCCATGTTCCAGGAATATGTAACACAGCTGCTGACAGTTTGTCTCGTTTTAAATTTCAGGCATTTCATCAAGCACTCCCATCAGCTGCGCTCACAGCCACCACCACTCCAACATTTCAACAACTAATACTGGACTAGACATCATCATGCCTCATAACAGGACACTGTCCCAATTGGCACTGTCAAAAAATACACACAAAACATCCGGCTTTTACACTATTCAAAGATTCCTTTTGGAACATAACATCATGCAACACCATATGCTAATCTTACAACCTAACAACACTAGTTTCATGGCCTCTCACCAGATTAAGACCATACTCAGAGGCATTCAGAAATCTGAAACCACACGTACATCACAGAGGCTACCCATATATAACCATATCTTCAAGGTATTATCTAACCTGCTTGATTTAAAACCTTTTGACACCAATACAAATTCTGTCATCAAAGCAGCAATATACATAGCTTTCTATGGATTTCTAAGACCTAGAGAGTTTACTACAACCAACATAACACAATCTGCTCCTATTCTCCTCTATTCCCCACTTAACAAAACACATGGATCATTACGTCCTGACGCTACCTCACTCCAAAACCAGCCAGCACATACCAGTAAACATTCCATACTACCCCACGCACAACAGGTGGTGCCCCGTCAAGGTTCTGGATACTACTATTACAAAGTTCAGTACTCACCACTACAACCTTCATGACCTATGTCAGGTCTTTGCTCACTCAACTGGGCCTCAAAGCAGCTAACTACTCAGGGCACTCCTTCCGCATGGGAGCAGCATCCACAGCCTCCAGTGTCAACATTCCAGTTCATGTTATAAAAACACTGGGGAGCTGGAAGTCATCCGCTTACTCACGATACATACCGAACCTAGTACAAGAATTAAGGGATGCTTTCAAAAACATGTCTGGTTGATATATGTTTCTGTATTGGTTGTCTGTAATAAATTTGATTACTTAATTTTTGCCCTCTTCTTTCTCAGGCCTACCTCATCGTCGGTTCCCGGCACACCACAACCGACTTGCCCTTTTTACTATCCTACATTTAATTATGGTATTTTACTCTGTACTATCATGAGCACCTAACACAAAATATATATATATATATATATATATATATATATTTAAATAAAAATAATTTTTAAAAATTGGAAGTCATTCGCTTACTCACGATAAATACCGAACCCAGTACAAGAATTAAGGGATGCTTTCAAAAACATGTCTGGTTCATATATGTTTCTGTATTGGTAGTCTGTAATAAATTTGATTACTTAATTTTTGCCCTCTTCTTTCTCAGGCCTACCTCATCGTCGGTTCCCGGCACACCACAACCGACTTGCCCTTTTTACTATCCTACATTTAATTATGGTATTTTACTCTGTACTATCATGAGCACCTACCAATTTTGCCTGGATTTGTGGGAGGTGCTTGGTATCCACTCTTAGCCTACTTAAGGACCACCCCTTACCTTGCTCCTTACCGTTCGAGGTCAGCGTTGAATGACCCTCCCACCACACCACATTTTAACATTATTTCCTTTCTATTTTTTTTTCCTGGGTAAGCCCTCTTCTTTCTCAGGCCTACCTCATCGTCAGTTCCGGCACACCACAACCGACTTGCCCTTTTTACTATCCTACATTTAATTATGATATTTTAGTCTGTACTATCATGAACACCTAACACAAAAAAAAAATCTATCTCTCTCTCTCTCTCTCTCTCTCTCTATATTTAAATAAAAATAATTTAAAAAAAAATATATATATACTGATCCTGAGGAAAGTCCCATATAGAGGACTGAAACGTTGATTGTGACTTTTAATATGACCTAATAAAGATTTGAACTTTTATATTCCGTGAGTGCTGCTACCTCTTTGGATATTTGGATAACCAAGCCCTGGCTGAGCATATATATGTATATATATATGCGGAGAATAAGAGATGCACTCTAAGGACTTGTATAAACAAAAATTGCAGTATTTATTTAAAAAGAAGGATTACATAATACGATCAACGTTTCGACCCCTCAGGGTCTTCCTCAAGATCAATATGTCAAAATCTGTGGAATCAATAAATAGTGAAATAAGAAAAGTACTCACCAATGGTGAATTGCCTCCCTCATCCTCTCCGTGCGAACCCGGAAGTGAACCCGCGATCACGTGGTGTGGCGTAATGCCGTCGTGATGACGTGTTGCTCGTTGCTAAGATACCAGTGTAACAAGTGCTGGATAGGAGCGTGTATAATACACGCTGGATAAAGCAATGTGTAGCAATGTGCCCAGACTACAAAGTGACCAGAGTATTGTGTATAACGATACACAAATAAAGTGACAAGTGCTGATAAATAAGTGCCAGTGCATGCATAAAAAATGTGATAACACATTGCAAATATGTGATTGCAAAGATCCAAGTGATTATTGTGCTACTACCTTCTATGAATAGATCAGAACAATACAAGGAACAATATATATTTTTGGTGAGACGTTACACCTACTTGAGCACCCCCTCATTGCTAGTCTACTAACTAGTGAATTGCACTTTTCCTCTAAGACTTCCTCTTTTTGTGTACAATGGAAGATTTCCTAGCTAAAGCAGGAGCATTATCAGAATCCGCTGAAACATTGTCTATTACAGACGCACAAGCAAATGCCATCCTGTGGCCACAAACCTCTCAAGAATTATTACATACCAATACCATACAAGATTTGTATAATGATCTTTTGAAATTGAAAAAACGGGA